CGATGATGTCATCAGTAAAAGTGCAGTTTTTTCATGAGAAATGCAAAAAACTAACATGAACGCTAACGTTGGCCATCATTTGTGACTAGGTGGCTACTAAAAAAGTCTGGACATACCCCATTTTAAATACCCTGGGTTGTCTACTTTTACAACTGGTATGCCATGATGGGGGTAATTTTCATTCCTCGACTGCTATATGGTCTCAAATGCAACATAGGCCCAGCAAACCAATCTGGCAAATTTCAATGTTAGAAAACTAAAATTGGCAAACCTTATATTTTACCCTGTAACTTTCTAAAACCCCTTAAAACCTGTATGTAGCGGAGAGGCAGTTTAATCCACAATATCTCCGCTGGGTAACAGGAACAACAAAGGATAATCCAGGGGAATCAGCATGCAATAATCCAAGTAGCACTGTAGTAACCCTTCCTTCCCAAGAACTAGACGACACATAGGCTGGGAGTCAACTGAGGCCTTTATTTCCAGCTCCACAATTTATACAAGTCCCCATGCAAGGGGTTTCCTGAGTCCCCTCCCAGGGGCATTCCCAGAGGGGACTACATGGGGGACTTCACATTCTGGGTATTTCTCCCATCAGGCACTGCTGCACGAGATGGATCCTCCCACAGGAATGTACCGTTAAGTGGATTATCCCTCCGTGCAGCAGAACCGACAATTTATATTAAAATGTATAACTCTTTGAATATACGGTCTATTTGCACGAATGGACGTTCGGTAGATAGTTGGGGTCTGAGTGCATCATTCGTGAGATTACCGCTCAGATCCCAGCTAAAATAACCGAACGCCGCACAAAAAAACCATTCATTAAAACATATGTTCAAAAGACCGATTGCATGCCAGGGAACCAGATACCGAATGGCCCGGAACTCCCGAACGGCCTGGAAGCTCAGCGGTGTTCATGCCGTCGAGTAGCCGTTTTTAGTACCATGCGATCGACGACCAAACACCGCTGAGGGAACAAAGGATCCAAGATGGCCGACCGCCGCATGGTCGGTAGTCGAACGACGGCCACCTTGGAGAGCCTCTAATTACCGATTGCAACATTGTTGCAATTGGTTAACAAGCGCCACACGTCTCATGATTCCCTTTTAACCCCTTAAGGACACATGACATGTCATGATTCCCTTTTATTACAGAAGTTTGGTCCTTAAGGGGTTAAGAGCTTGTTCCTGCTTCACTCTCTGGCGAAAGAGGTTCACCCACTGGAACCTGGAGTCTAGTCGTAGGTCCAAGGTGAGTAGGAGACGGCGAGACCCCAACCAAGCTGCGGCGGTTTATGGGGTCTGCAGTGCTTATGGTGTCAAGTGGAGCCCTCAGGAAGCGCTAGGAGCATCCTTCAACGGAGGTACCCAGTCGGGGTACCAGGTGATCCGTTACACCTGTTTTTTCAATTTTTGTTTTATTTATATTAAGTTATGTTTCATTTATGAATATGTGATGTGACATGAAAGCCATGTTTCTCCTGAACAAACTGATATATAATAAGTGTGGGTGCACTTAATATGAAAGAGGTGAATTATGGTTAAACAGACTGATAGCGCACATTCTCCCCTTTGATCTTCTCTGAATATTTACAGATAGAATCCTGATTTTCTATTGATACAAAGTTAATAGATTTATCCAAGATTGATAAACATTTGCTTGTTTGCATGTTTTATAATTTTGTTGCTGCTGTAAGTTGCAGTTTTGAGTTTGACCACTAGATGTCTCTTTGTGCTTAGAAATAGCATTACTTGTGTTTAATCAAAATCAGAGATTATTCCATTCTGGTTGTGAAAACTTTTCAAATGATTTGATATGTTTTTTCCCCCCCAACAAAATGAATAATTTCTCATTCATGTGAATTAAATAGAAGCCATAGTAGTAAGTTGATTAAAGGGACACTATAGTCACCAGAACAACTACAGCTTATTGAATTTGTTCTGGTGAGTATAATCATTCCCTTCAGGCTTTTTGCTGTAAACACTGTCTTTTCAGAGAAAATGCAGTGTTTACATTACAGCCTAGTGATAACTTCACTGGCCACTCCTCAGATGGCTGCTAGAGATCCTTCCTGGGTCATGGCTGCCTAAAATGCATCCAAACATTCAGTGTCTCCTCCCTCTGCATGCAGACACTGAACTTTCCTCATAGAGATTCATTGATTCAATTCATCTCTATGAGGAGATGCTGATTGGCCAGGGCTGTGTTTGAATCATGCTGGCTCTGCCCCTGATCTGCCTCTTTGTCAGTCTCAGCCAATCCTATGGGGAAGCATTGTGATTGGATCAGGCTACCACATGTCAGCAGACTGCTTGTTTTTCTGAGTCTAACAGCATGCAGATTTACAGCTTCAGGCTTGAATACAGTAAGATTTTTACTATATTTATGAAAGCAGGGGGCTAGATGGTGGTGTTAACACTATAGGGTCAGGAATACATGTTTGTGTTCCTGACCCTATAGTGATTCTTTAAATTAGAGCTGATCATGTTTTTAATAGGTATTTTAACAGTTCAAATTACCGCAGTTGAGGGCTTATTGTGAGCCAAGAGTGATCGTCTCAATTTCAAAAGCTATACATTGAAAATATCGGCTTCAATCATTAAATACTGTTTCTCGGCAGGCGGTGCCAGCAACGGACCAGGACAGATGCACTAACTGAGAGCTCCGACCCTAGCAGATAAATAAAGCCATTTCTTTAATGGCATATGTGATCCAGTCCTACCAGTGGTGTATTCTGGATCTGTGCTTCCCTAGGCATGACGGAACTCGGGCACCCCCTAATTTACATATGCCCACCCCTTCCTGTCAATGCCACACCTCTTCCTGTTAAAGACTAACACACACACTTTGACTGACAGACACACACTGTGGATCGGTCTCGGAGTTGGGGACATTCTCGCCTGTAGTGTCCCCACCTCGGGCATTGGTGACATTGCACAGAGCTAGGCTAGCGGAACCTCGGTTGGTGGGGGTGGTAGTTGTCGGGGTGGTGCTGTTGTGTTGGTGGGGTAGCTCGACCCCTGGAGGTCTTAATGTGGTCTTAATGACTACAAGTTTTTGTTGCCTGCGAGCATCCAAGTAGTCGTCTTCCTAGCTGCCTCAATGAGGGATGTAGGGTTGCGGTCCCTTACCCATTCCTGGACATCTGTTGGTATCTGTGACGAAGTGCCCTTCGCCACTTGTGCCTGGAGGGAACTACTGGCTAGCCTCCTGCCTTCCGACTATGGCCCCTGTGCTGATAGCTGTATTTTACCCTGCAGAAAGGTTTATTTGTGTATTTCTGCTGGGGCATTCTGGACTTTCAGTATGGTAGTAGTGCTATCCCAGATAACTATGCCATGGAGCCTATTTGTGTAACAAAAGACTATGGAAAAGACTTTGGCTCCATGGCGATTGAATTGTATGTATGTGATCTGAGCACCATTCAATAATAATGTGCACTCAGATCTAAGCTATCTGGGGATATGTTGCATGTATATGTTTTATATAGTAATTGTAACATTGTGTAATTTTATGTCTTTTTGTAACCATGTGGTTAATGGAGTCTTGCCTCTGTCTTGGGAGAAAATTTGATTACTTCCCAATTATCTCCAGGATAGAGAGGAGGGATTGTGATGTCACTGTGGGAGTGTTTTGTTTGTATTGTCCCCCCCCCCCTGTGGGATGTCCCCTTGCATGGGGACTTGCATAAAAGCCAGTGTGTGGTCATTAAAACCAGATCATCTTGTACCTTTCTTGAAGCCTTGGCTCATGTTTGGGGGAAGGGATACCTACACTCTGGGGATTGCTATAATCACTTACTCCCCAGAGTAAGCTCTTGCAATAGCTTGATTTGTCCCTGCTACGCTCTCTGGATTTAGGAGAGGTTCACCCACTGGGAGCTGGATCCTGGAAACGGCGAGACCCCGGCGCAGCTGTATCGCTGGAAGTGGGGTTTGCAGTGCTGATGTTGTCGGTTAGAGTGCTTGGAGTCCTCGGCAAGCGCTAGGATCATCGATTGGCGGAGGTACTCAGTCGAAGTGCCAGCGTTCCGTCACAGTATCCCATCATAAAATTGTTCCAACAGCAACATTTGTAATATGTCCTCCATGGACTGTGCTTTGTTAGCCTGTACCCATCCGAGGGCCACCCGCTGTAGTCTACAAGCCCATTCTGCATGTGAATCTTTTTCCGCTATTCTTTAGTTCCCTGAACTGCCTTCGGTATGCCTCTGGAGTGATGGCATATCGAGCCAATATCATTTCCTTTACCCGACTGTAGTCACGAATTTCTTCGTCGGGTACAGTACGGTAAGCTTCTGCTGCTCTCCCGGTTAGTTGCCCAGCTAAAATGGGGACCCAATCTTCTGAGCTGATTTTATGCAAGGCACACAGTCTTTCAAAATCCTGGAGAGGATTGCATCTATGTCTTCCTCTGCCTCTACATACATTTTAAATGCTTGGTAAGGTACCCTCTTGTACCATGGTTACTGCTGAGCTGCGTTCTGGGGTTGCCGTTATCCTTTGCCTCAGTACAAACTCCTGGACTTCTGTCATTGTCCTGGAGATGATCTCTGCCGGTGGATACTGCCTATAAAAGTGTGACGAAGTGCCCTTCGCCACTTGGTCCTGGAGAGGCCTGCTTGCCAGCCTCCTCCCTGTTACTATGACTCTTTGATGTATTTGGCTTTAAAGCCCCTAGTCTACCTTCAGACCGACTATTTATGTAGGCTGCTTTATTTATCTTATGTTTTAGTCACCCTGTACCCATTATAGGTGCAGGGTGTGTGTAATGTAATTGTTTATAGTGTGTGTGTGTGTGTACTGTGAAATGTATTGCCTGCTCTCCTGTACTACTGAGGTTTGCTACCAACTAGGTGGGTTTGGCTATGGAGCTTGTCTAGTGCCCTCTGTTGGTAGCAACAGCAATATGCACTACCTGAATTGCAAGACTGGTTCATTTGCATATTCGGGTAGATTTGCATATTGCTAATTCTGCAGGCAGGTGAGATATTTACTGTTAAATATTGTCTCCCCCACCCCTTTAAAAATGTGCCATTGTGTTGTGATAAGTCACTGTGTGTTGCCTGCTATGGTTTGACTGTTTTTGATTTTATTGAGGTTTCACAACAATGTTATGGTGTTGAACCTATGGGCTGGTCCCAAGGGAAATAAAGATTTAGACAGTTCTTCTTGATCCCTCTAAATGTAGCCTTGTCTCGTTATTGGAGGGAGCTGTTATAATCACACTGGGGATTGCTATGCTCTGCATGCTCCTCTGATCTTGAATCACTTAGCTCTTTTAAGAGCTAGTTCCTGACACGCTCTCCTTGGAGGAGGGGTCTTCACCACACAGTCCTGGATGCTGGAGGTTCATTCAAGGTGAAAGGAAGAGTTCTTTCCCACACAGTCCTGGAGGACAGAAGCTGATCCAGGGTGGAAGGAAGACTCCAGTCAAGATACAGCGGTTGCGGAGTCTGCGGTGGTTGTGGTGTCTGCTGCACTGCTTGGAGTCCTCAGGAAGCGCTAGGAGCATCCGTCAACGGAGGGTACTCAGTCGGAGTACAAGGAGCTCCGTTACATTGGTGGCAGCGGTGGGATGGCGTCCTAGTGCGAGGAGAAACAGCTCAGAGACACCGGAATTATTACAGAGCGATATGGAGCCAGCAAGTCCCTGGACAGCGCTCAAAGTGGAGGATGAGTTCGACTGGAGGTTACAGAGCCTCTTGGCCTCAGTGGGTGAGCCAGTATCAGAGACAACCAGGTTGGACTGCAGAGAGGGCGCCAGGAAAGAGATGTGGGACGAAGCCCTGGAGGGTGTCCAGCGTTGGCGAGGTGAGCGTCTCCCCAGCGAGGAGCAGCGACTACAGGCCCAAGTGGCCCTATGGATGCGTATGATGGGAGAACAGCCCAGGTGGGAGTTGGTAATGCAGCTTAATTCTCTGGCATGGAAGGAACTGGGGCTCGAAGATGCATACCAGGCACTACATTGGTATGCAGTTCAGCGTGTTCCCGGGATGGCTAAGTGCGACAGACCAGAGGGCGAGGATTACAATGGCCCTGGCATATTATGGTACGCCTGTACCGGACCAAGGTTTCGGGGATGCTGCAGAGTCACGGCTATGGGACATATATGAATCCAGAGAAACCATTCTAGATCTCCCTATGGATGAAGAATTGGCCATCCAGGAATGGGAACTGGAACAGGATTACCAGTGCCTACTCAGCTCCAGTCAGTCCCAGTATACCTTGGAGGTACCACCAGGGCAGTGCAAGTTACAGGGAGCCGAAGGTGTCGTCCTTCCTCCCCAGCGGCAGTGCAAGTTACAGGGACCGAAGGTGTCGTCCTTCCTTCCCAGCGGCAGTGCGAATTCCAGGGGGCCGAAGGTGTCGTCCTTCCCCCCCAGCAGCAGTGTGTCCTACAGGGAGCAGAGACAGTTGGTCTCTCTCTCCAGCAGCAGGACAATGTTATGGGAGTGGAGACAGGAGGTCTCCCTCTCCAGTGGCAGCCTGTGTTTCAGGGAGAGGAGCACAGCACCCTATCTCCCCAGCGGCAGCTTACCCTACCAAGGGGAAACACCAATCTCCCAGACGGCGCAGATGGGACCGTGGTCTCTGTGCCTGACCTATAGGGATACTGGACATCCTGTCCAGATCCCCAACTACTCTCACAGGAACAACAGGAGGAGGGGGTAAGTACGATTTTCCCCTCCCCAGCTAACTCCTAACTTGGCCCCAGGGTTAACAGAGGAGATGTTAACCCCCACTGACCCCCACGTTCCCCTGCCTACTGAGCCGGACTATGTCCCAAGCTCCCCAGCGGAAGAGCTGGCAGCTGGGCAGAGTGCAGTCGGCCTCTGCCCTCCCTTTGTCCCTTGTCCAGAGCCTGATGTCCGGCAGGCTATACCAGCAGAAGAGCTGGCATCAGGGCAGACCGCCGCTGGCCTCTGCCCTACCGATCCCCTTGTCACAGGACTGGCCTGCAGCCCCCTCCTCCCAGCAGAAGCGCTGGCATCAGGGCAGAGCGCTGCTGGCCTCTGCCCCTCAAGTCCCCACAGCGTGTTGCCCCATCATCCCAGAGGAATACCCAGGTGCAGTCACTGTTTGCTGTGGGTGGGCTGCTCTAATAACTGTTTGTTGTGGGTGGGCTAATCTGGCACTTGCTTATGGTGGGTGGGTGAATCAACTAACTTAGGCACTGACCGACAGAAAGTCAGGTGCCTGGTTAGTCTTCCCCCCCGAAGGGGAGATATGTGACGAAGTGCCCTTCGCCACTTGGTCCTGGAGAGTCCTGCTTGCCAGCCTCCTCCCCTGTGACTATGACTCTTTCATGTATTTGGCTTTAAAGCCCCTAGTCTACCTTCAGACAGACTATTTATGTAGGCTGCTTTATTTATCTTATGTTTTAGTCACCCTGTACCCATTATAGGTGCAGGGTGTGTGTAATGTAATTGTTTATAGTGTGTGTGTACTGTGAAATGTATTGCTTGCTCTCCTGTACTGCTGAGGTTTGCTACCAACTAGGTGGGTTTGGCAATGGAGCTTGTCTAGTGCCCTCTGTTGGTAGCAACAGCAATATGCACTACCTGAATTGCAAGACTGGTTCATTTGCATATTCTGCGGTGGTTGTGGTGTCTGCTGCACTGCTTGGAATCCTCAGGAAGCGCTAGGAGCATCCGTCAACGGAGGGTACTCAGTCGGAGTACAAGGAGCTCCGTTACAAAAAGGACAACCTAAATTGCAGCTGCCTTTGAAACTCCATTTGTTCTTGTCCTTCTGCCTAATCACTATGTTCGGGAACCGAACCGCCATCTGTTCGGTATTCCGCCATGACTTTAGCGATGAGAACAGCTTTAGTTTTATTGCTGGCTTGAATACCCCTTGCTTCCAGGAGGTCTTTTAGCGTGGAGCATTTTAGCGTAGAATAATCAATCTCCATCCGTACTCCATTGGTACTTGTTCCTCTGTGTTTCTGGATCCCGGTGCTGCCAACCAATGTAGCGGAGAGCTGGTCTTTCACAGGTTAACTCCACGTAAGATCCCAGGGAGGATCAGGAAAAAGTAATAAAATACCATAGAATAATAATCACAACTAGTGATGTCCCGAACGGTTCGCTGGCGAATAGTTCCTGGCGACCATCGCTTGTTCGCCAATTCGTCATCATTGAGTAAACTTTGACCCTGTACCTCACAGTCAGCAGACACATTCCAGCCAATCAGCAGCAGACCCTCCCTCCCAGACCCTCCCACCTCCTGGACAGCATCCATTTTACATTCGTTGTGAAGCTGCATTCTTAGTGAGAGGAGGGACAGTGTAGCTGCTGCTGATTTGATAGGGAAATTGATAGCTAGGCAATTCAGTGTCCACTACAGTCCTGAAGGACTCATCTGATCTCTCTGACCTCACTACCCCCCACACCCTGACACACAGCATCAGGAGCAGAACTAAACTTTTATTCACTCAACCTTCTTTTAAAGCATTCTCCCATGCAAGGGAGGGATTTAATAATTAGTACAGTAGCCAATAATGTAACAGTTACCTCCCACACATCTCCTCCCCTCAGTGTGACACATAATCCCATTAAACATACTGTGGTTTCCCCCGAATTCTGGATGTACCCCAAAACAAGCAGTTAGAATAATACTTTGGGTACCCCTTTGTAGCCCAGATCTGGGTGACTAACATATTCAAAATTCACCCAGATCGGACCAGGGGTTCGGGAGTTAGGTGGAAGGTGCAATTTGAACGACCGCACACGAGGTGGTATCCGAAAAAGGCTCCATGTGTCTTGGCCCTGCAGTCGGTCTCCTTTCGGTAGTTAAAACATACATTAATCCTTGCCATCCACAGCTAATCTTATATTTGCATGTATTGCCTTGTTCAGTACATTTATTTTACCGAACGAGGGGCTGACTGGTCCCTCCGTTCGGGAGTTATGGAACTCTGGAGGTCTCAGCGGTGTTCGGGTGTTTGAGTGTCCGATTTGAGTTCCAGACACCCGACGACCAAACACCGCTGAGATTTTCTAGATGGCTGACGCACGTGGTTCGTATGCCGAACGGCGACCACACAGGCACATACAATAAATCAATTAAGCTGCGGTTTACAGAGTGTGAACGCTTAAAGAGGTGCACAGTTATCACTGGGGTGGTCTGATGGTTCAGTAGTTTCATTCGTATGAAAACTCACGAAAAATCATACGAAAGCTACATACACCTACAGCTATACAGGGAAACAATTACACGAATACATTTTTAATACGAATTCTTGAGGACAGCCTTAATGCAATTCGTTACACACACACACACTGATTTGACACAATCTGACAGACACACACAATCACTCACTCACAGACACATACTGACAGACACACACAATAATTCACTCACAGACACAATCTGACAGACACACACAATCACTCACTCACAGACACACACTGACAGACACACACAATCAGTGGCCTACACACAACCCATGGGGCCCTGGTGCAAAACTGATCCATTGGTCCCCTCCTCTATAACCTCCCCCGACAGACACACTGTTATGCTTTCTATGGATTTGGAGTGGAACTCAACTGCAGAAATAAAGTTAGGAAAACATTTTAGTTTTTTTTAGATTAATAATTAGGAAAGAAAGATTAGTTCTTCAATAAGGTTTTATTTAGAAGATTGTTGGGAACAATTCCTGTTATTTGAAGAATACAATATGAATATAATTTGATGAGATGAATTCAATGAGAAGGGTTCCTGTAGTCTTAAGGAACACGATATGTCGAAATTTTGAAGAGTAGAGTTCCTGTAGCTTTAAGGGAACAATATGATGATAGTTTGAGAAGAAGAGTTCCTGTAGCTTTAAGGGAACAATATAGATATAGTTAGATGAGATGAGTTCCTGTAGCTTTAAGGAACGAGACATGCAGATAAAGTGATATGATGAGTTCCTGTAGCTTTAAGGATTACAATATGAAGATAGTTCGATGAGGAGAGTTCCTATTGCTTTAAGGAATACAATATGAAGACAATTCGATGACGTGAGTTCCTTAAGCTTTAAGGAATGAAGGTAGGTTGATGAGATCAGGGGCGTATTAGCCGCGAGGCAAACAAGGCATTTGCCTTGGGCGGCATTTTTCAGGGGGCGGCAAAAAACGCCGCCCCCCAAATGCCCAAGGCAAATGCCTAGTTAGCCTTGCGGCTAACTGACATCCCGGGCGGGCGGCGCTGGCGGGCGGGCGGCTGGCGAGGGAGCTCTTCCTATGAGCTCTCTGCTCAGCTCCCTCGCGCGCCGCACAGTGAGGCTGGGAGCCGGGATATGACGTCATCTTCCAGCTCCCAGCCTCACTCTGCAGCCGGCACGCGAGGGAGCTGAGCAGACAGCTCATAGGAAGAGCTCCCGCGCCAGCCGCCCGCCCGACCGGCAGCCACTGGACCACCAGGGAGAGAGAGACCTCCCCCCCAGCACTCCCAAAGGTAAGGAGGTTGGGGGGGGTAAAAAAAAAGTTAATCTGTGTGTGTGTCTGACTGTGTTTGTGTGTATGTGTGTGTGTGTGTGTGTGTGTCTGACTGTGTGTGTGTGTTTGTGTCTGACTGTGTCTGTGTATGTGTCTGACTGTGTGTGTGTCTGACTGTGTGTGTGTTTGTGTCTGACTGTGTCTGTGTATGTCTGACTGTGTATGTGTCTGACTGTGTGTGTGTGTTTGTGTCTGACTGTGTCTGTGTATGTGTCTGACTGTGTGTGTGTGTGTCTGACTGTGTGTGTGTTTGTGTCTGTCTGTGTATGTGTCTGACTGTGTCTGTGTATGTGTCTGACTGTGTGTGTGTGTTTGTGTCTGACTGTGTCTGTGTATGTGTCTGACTGTGTCTGTGTATGTGTCTGACTGTGTGTGTGTGTGTGTGTTTGTGTGTGTGTTTGTGTCTGACTGTGTGTGTGTCTGACTGTGTGTGTGTTTGTGAGTGTGTGTGTCTGACTGTGTATGTGTGTGTGTCTGACTGTGTATGTGTGTGTGTATGTGTCTGACTGTGTGTGTGTGTTTGTGTCTGACTGTGTGTGTGTGTGTGACTGTGTGTGTTTGTGCCTGACTGTGTCTGTGTCTGACTGTGTCTGTGTATGTGTGTGTGTGTTTGTGTCTGACTGTGTGTGTGTGTATGACTGTGTGTGTGTTTGCGCAAAGGTGCTGTTCGTGAAACGAAACACAGTATGGCTATCTGCTTTCGGCAGATAGCTGGCACGAACAATGCATATACAGAAAAGGCAGTCAGGCACATAATACAGTATAATAAAAGGTACAGGTCACTTTTCCCACATATTGTCCAAGTGGCTAGTTTTGCCACAAACACATGGCAGCAAAAGACAATAAAATACATAAAAACATATAACTGTGCAGCCATTGCACAAAACAGGTACATTCAACATATCCCCAGATAGCTCAGATCTGAGCGCATGTTATTACTGAATGGCGTTCAGAGCACACACATACAGTTCAATTGCCATGGAGCCAAAGTCTTTCCTATTGTCTTTCATTATACGAATGGGCTCCATGGCATAGCTATCTGGGGTATCACCGCTCAAACAGGGCAAGCACCAAATGACCCGGCTTTCATGTCTTTGCAGGGGAAAATCCAGCATTTCAACATGGGGCCATAGTCTAAAGGCAGCAGGCGGGCAACCAGGCTTCTCCAATGCACTGTGTGCGAGATTGCTCTCGTCACACCGCCTTACCAGGAATGGGCCCTGCGGTCCTGGAAGTTCCCTGAGGACCGCGTCTAATTCAAAGTAACTAATGGCTATACCTTCAAGCGTAGTCTCGTGCAGGCTCCAAAGGCCTCAGATCCCTTGATCCCAAGCACCTCCAGTGGTCCGAATGGACTAAGATAGGGTCTCCTGCAATCCCCAAGTTTGGGGTCCAGTCTGTTATGTCATCCGAAGGTGGAGGCAACTGTGACATTCCGGGCCCAGGGTCCAATCCCTTATAACAGGCTTTAGATATGTCTTCGTAACGTTTTTTCATATGAAAACTGGGACCCAATATTCTTCCCCGTATGTCCCGTAGGACAACCCACTCGTATGGGAGAGAACCCTTGGCTTGTCAGTGTGGACTGAAAAGTAGAGTACCGGTCTCGGCGGCACGGGTCTGGGCACGGGTCGTGACAGCGTTCACTTCAGCGGGACCCATGGGAGCGTAGGCAGAAACAAGGGGAGCCAAGTCATTTCCAAGGAGTACATCTGCCGGTAAGTCCCTCATGACCCCCACATTCACATGTCTGGCGCCCACCCCCCAATCCAAATGTACCCGGGCAACGGGTAGGTGAAACACAGCGCCTCCGGCTACTCGTAGCGCCACAGTTTCTCCAGTGTGTTGGTTCTCAGACACCAAGTGCTTTTGAAGTAATGTTGCCCCGGTATCCCGCAGACCACTGACCTCCTTCCCGTTGACTTTGACAAATTGCCGGTGGTGCTGTCGGTTATCCCAGTGGGCAACTTGGACAGGGTCTGCCTCGTGCAGAATGCCCCAGCATTCCTCTTCCTCTATGCAGTGGGCAGCCGGGGGAGGGGGTCGTTGATTTCCGCTGGCTGGTCTCCTCCAAGACTGGGCCTGGTTAGCATTGTTCAACGGGCACTCTGGTCGTTTGTGCCCTGGCTGCTTGCACCCAAAACATCTGATGGGTTGCGAGTAATCCCGTGAGTTGAACCGGGGCGCCTGCTTGTAATTATTGGATGGAGCGGGTGCTGACGGCCGATGCGTCGGTGGTTGGTAGATAGTAGCTGCTGGGGTTGCGGTGGGTCGGTACTCCACTCTGGCAGGAGTCTTACCAATAGCACTGTCCAGTTTGCGGGCATCTGTGTACTCGTCTGCCAGGCGAGCTGCTTCATGTAGAGTGGAGGGTTTACGGTCCCTTAGCCACTCTCTGACCCCTGGGGATAATTTCTCAAAACAATGCTCCAGTAGGAACATCTGCAGCACTTCTTCCCCGGATACAGCTTGGCACCCCGCCATCCAGTGGGCAGCTGTGCGGTGCACTTTACATGCCCATTCAACATAAGAATCCCCAGCTGAATTGACAGTGCCTCTGAACCGCCTCCGGTGTAACGGCATACCTGGAGAACAAAGCTTCCTTGACGGCCCCATAATCCCTGATCTCCTCATCAGGAATGGCCCAAAAAGCGTCACTGGCCCGGCCGGATAACTTGCCGGACAATATAGTAACCCAGTCTTCTGGGGGTACCTTGTGTAGGACACATTGCCGCACAAAATCAGCAAGGTACCCATCAATCTCTCCTTCTGTCTCACTGAATGATTTAAACTCTGCAAACTGTACCTTCTTTCTTTCCACCGGGATTGCTGGAACTGGGGCTGCTGCAGCACCTCTTTGGAGGAGCAGGTTGGCCTCCACAGCATCCATGACCCGGCTGCTGATCT